ATCTTCGCCTATCATTGAAATGAAGTCGCCACTACTTCCACCGATCATCCCTGATCCTCCTCTTTCACCCTACGACCTCCTTCTCAAAGAGTTCAAGCGTCTCACATGTCCGAACAACTTTTCCCGACCCGTACCACATGACGTGACCCACCATATTGTAACGACGGGTGCTCCCACCTATGCTCGACCACGACGACTTGCTCCATAACGTCTGAAGATCGCCAAGGCAGAGTTCGAACACATGCTGGAATTGGGCATCATTCGTTCTCCTTCGAGTCCATGGGCCTCGCCTCTGCATATGGTACCTAAAAAGGATACCGGAGACCTTGCAGCGACTACCGTGCCCTAAACAACGCCACACTACCAGACGGGTATCCGATACCACACATCCAGGACTTTTCACTAACCCTTCACGGCTCAACCATTTTTTCGAAGATAGATCTCGTTAAGGCCTACCACCAGATACCGGTAGAACCTGCAGATGTTACTAAGACGGCCATCACGACACTGTTTGGGTTGTTTGAGTACTTTCGAAAGCCCCTCGGACTCCGAAATTCAGCCCAAACCTTCCAAAGGTTCATCGACGCCGTCCTCAGAGGATTGCTTTTCTGCTTTGCATATGTCGATGATCTCCTAATCTTCAGTCGAAACGAGACTGAACACATCCAACATCTGCGACTACTTTTCCAGCGCCTCGCCGATTATGGTTAACATGAACAAAGGAAAATGCCAACTCGAGGCATCACATCTAGAATTTCTAGGCCACGAAGTAGATCAACACGGCATACGGCCCCTTCCAACAAAAGTGCTGGCGATCACCAATTTCCCAACACCCACAACCATCCGCCACCTTCGCAAGTTCCTTGGACTGGTGAACTTTTATCGGCAATTTCTTCCCCAGAGCGCTGCGATTCTGTTGCCCCTCACTTCTCTGCTGAAAGGAACCAAGACACCCTCATCTCCTGTGCAGTGGACACCTATTGCAGAACAAGCTTTTAGCCGAGCGAAGCTGGAACTAGCAAATGCGACGCTTCTGCCACATCTCCAGCACAACACTCCAACTAACATCATGGTGGACGCCTCCGACGTCGCCGCAGGAGCTGTCTTACAACAACTAATCGGCACTGTCTGGAAGCCAATTGCTTTCTTTTCAAGACAACCGACGTTGGCGGAACAACGTTACAGCACTTACGGACGCGAGCTCTTAGCAATATACAGTGCAATCCACCATTTTCGAAATTTTCTCCAAGGAACAGAGTTCTTCGTTCTGACAGACCACAAGCCCCTCATGTGTGCTCTGCAAAATGGCACAGATACACATTCACCTCGCGAGACACGGCACTTGGCTTATATTGCCGAATATACGACCGACATTTGCCGTGTCAAAGGCATCAACAACCCTGTTGCTGACCCTTTGTCCAGGAGCACTCCAATTTCCTGCGGACTGGGTTTCCCTCTTGCTGTCGACTATGATGCAATAAGCGTTGTGCAGCAACAGGACCAGGAGCTTAAATATCTACGCAAATTTCCTGGTCGGCTTGCCTTCGAGGAGATTACTTTATCTTCATCCACCACAGGAGTAGTCTGCGACGTCTTGACCGGTACACAAAGACCATTCATACCTGCTAACTTTCGAAGGCAAGTTTCTGACTCCGTACACGGTTTATCTCATCCTGGTATTCGTGCCGCTCAACATCTAATGATTGAACGCTTCCTCTGGCCCGGAATCAATAAAGATGTCCGAAGCTGGATTCGAACCTGCCTTCACTGCCAAAAATTGAAGGTCCAACGTCACACTTCTGCGCCGCTACAGGCATTTCCAACCCCGAAAAAGCGCTTCGACCACATCCACATTGATAGCGTGGGACCCCTGCCACCATCTGAGGGTTATCGATACCTTCTTACATGCATGGATCGGTTCACCCGCTGGCCAGAGGCATTTCCCATTCAAGATATCCAAGCAGACACCGTAGCACACACTTTCGTTCAAGGATGGGTGTCCCGATTCAGCATCCCATCTACTCTCACAACGGACCGGGGACGTCAATTTGAATCCATGCTCTTCCGACAACTTTTATCGCTCTTGGGAACAAAACGAATACGAACGACCGCCTACCACCCTTCTGCAAATGGTCTCGTCGAGAGTTTTCATCGCTCAATGAAAGCGGCGCTGATGGCACAATCCAACCCAAACAGCTGGAACACAAGCTTGCCGATCGTCCTCCTTGGACCTCGGGCTGCTTTGACGCGAAACCTCGGCTACAGTCCAGCCGAGTTGGTATATGGCTCTACCCTTCGCCTTCCCGGAGAATTTTTCACATCAGGTATGGAAGAGCCAGCTCCTGATCCTATGGCATATGCCAATCAGCTGCGAACGATAATGCAAAATCTCCCACCCACATTACCCAGTAAGCAAGCACGAGCTCCAGTATACGTATCTAGCGACCTTGACACGTGCAGCCACGTATTTCTATGCAGGGCAGGCTCTAAAAGATTGCTTCAACAACCATACACCGGGCCGCATAAGGTAATTACGAGAGAAGCCAAGACTTTTACAATCGACTACAATGGACGCCAAGAGACCGTTTCCATTGACCGCCTAAAACCCGCTCATCAGGAACCGCTTGATAATCCAAACCATGCCATTCATGCTTCCACCATTCCCGCTCGACCAACCACTGATCTCCACTGCCTCACCTCACACCGATCCCCTCGACCTGATGAGACCCACACAGAACACCCCCAATGCAGACAAGCACCTCAAGAATCCAACAGACCCCAGCTCTGCTTATTCCGAAAACAACCGCAGAGACTCCGGTCAGTTTGGATCTAGAGTATCAAACTCTCCGTCACACACGAGGACCATTATTCACTGCAACCAAACAAACACAGGCGATTCTCTCCGAGCTCCAACTCGCCAAGTGATGTGGTGTTTACCACCACCGTACGGTCATCCTAGGAACGCGGGAGAGGGAGAGGGGAGGGAGAGTATTGTAGGGTGCCGAGCGCCAAGAAGAGAAGAAGAGGAGCGCAAGGTCGGGGAGTGCGTGACACTCGGGAGAGCGAAAAGCACGGCCGACGATCTCGGTGGGTACCGAAGTGACGCCTTTGAAGATATCCCTCATAGCGTTAGATATTGTAAAGTGTAAATAAATATGTAGGACCTACATTTGGTCCCTACAGTGGTGTTGGGATCAATGATTGCCTCGGCATAAATGCCACTAGTTCGCTATGGCGGGATATAAGCAAACATTGCTGACTGGGAAGTACAGTCATCTTTGCTTCGTTGCCACTCGCCACCATAACAAGCACGTAAGGGACACGACCTAAAAATAGCAATTTTTGTTCAACTTTTTTTGATTGAACACCGAAAGTTAGCCCACTCCATATTTTCAGCCTATTTGCTCTTAGGGTTAGGTGGGCGATCGCTCGGGATTTTACAGTATAACGATACTACATATAACGATATGGTACCACTTATAATGATCAGTTTATAGAGTTTTTAGTCCACAAAAGAGCAGTTTCTAGTACAGAGGCAACGATAATCGGTTATAACAATTGCATTTTCGGGTTTTCTCATTATCGTTATAAGTGGATTGCACTGTACCATTGTGTCATGCCTGACGTGCCTGAAGACAATTAACCTACGCTTATCTGATCACTCCTCCTTTCAGAAAACTGCTTGTTTCATGAAATCTAAGGCCATAACTTAATGCTACACCATTCGGTTAAGACAGCTTTCTTGGTCCATCCTATGTTGTACAGCCATGCTAAACAGATGGTTTGCTTAACAGGTGGTTCAAATGCTCTACATATTAGTTTTCATAAAACAAGCATTTAATCAAGAATGTGTTTAAGGCCTGGGCTTGCCGGGGAAGGTGTGACAGAACACCACAGAAACTGTCAAAGGACAACCTGAGAAAAAAAGAGGTAACTTGAGAACAATGAATGAAATTCTAAACATCCCTTACGATTGTGAGCTCGACGTTCTACCACTGCACAAATTAGCAAGTAGACGTAAAGCTAGCTTGCCTTGTCTCTACTAACTTTTTAAATGCAGATGCTGAATGCCACCGTTTAAACATTTTATGAGAAGATACAAAAGAATTCGAGACAAGCCCACCATTAGATAAAAAAAAGGATAGTAGTTTGAAATAACATGCTATAACCAAAAAAAAAAGAGAAAAAACCAGCAATGTCCACGCACAAAGTCCGCAAAATGCCGCAGAAATACGTCCTGTGAATGCAGACTTTATTAAAAAAAAATTTTAAAATTAAAATAAATCTAGCATTCTTTTAATACACAAACAACAAGAAAAACCAATGGTCTACCTTGGCCACAGCAACACGTCGGAGATAAATATGATGCAATCGCGGCCAAACCATGACCGTCGTCGTAGCAGCTCGTCGAATGCCTCAAACAGGTGGAAGTGAAAAGGAAAATGGAAAACCAAGGGCATCCCTGGTACGTAGCGGCCATGTCAACCCTTCTCCACTTCAGGTACACCAACAACCCGTAATGTTGCCCTGAGTAGCATCGTAACATCAAAGAACGAGGCAATGCAGAGGACACAATGACAAGGTCAAACATGGTTACAGATGCGCACAAAAAGGAAAGGACTGAGAAAAGAAAGACGTAGACAACAGACAAGCACACAGTCACAACTCGCATGTATTTGAAGGAACAAGGAAAGGAAGAAGTACAACTGGCAGAATCAGCTCTAGTGAAGGCCACAGGGGCATCTTTAACCATATTTTATCAATACCAAATCGTCCGAATGACCACCCCCACGACAAGATGGAAATGGGGCTGCTCGCTCAGCAAACAATCTTTTTCGTTTTCTCATTTCATTTCATCGAGTTTTGTCAAAAATGAATGACAATGCCCACTCTTGAATAAACCATTTTCCAGAATCAAGTCTTTTGTTTGTTTTTCTTCAGCTGCCACAAGATGGCGTTGCCTAACACTACTCTGCTGTGGTCCACCACCGCACATAGATGTGCGAAAGACAGAGAAAGATGCCGATCGTTGGTGAAACTGCAATGGTTGCTCGACATATAACCAGACCTACAAGGTCTGTTCCCTCGGCCATCAGGGAACAAGATACAAAATTTGTTTTCAATCAGCAGCACATGTCATACGTCTATTTATGCACATTACAAAAGTCTCTCTAGCTCGGCTTCACCACATTCCTCCTTGACAGGGTGGCCGTGGCTGGAACCGTTGTTTTAGCCCATGTTCTTCCTGTTTCCACTGCCTCTCTTGTTTTCTGCACAAAAATTGGTTAAAGTTAGCACCGTCTTAATCACTACATGCTAAGTGATTGGTGGACACAAGTGCTGCATAAACAATTATTAATGAGGGCAAGGTAAGACATATCATAAATAAAGGTGCAAGATTATGAAAAATCATATAATATGAAGCTGTACAAGTCAATTGCATCGATACACTCATTGAAGTGATGTGACTGATCTGAATCATTTTGGAGGACCTTTTGGAACCGTAAAAGGAACTTTTTGATGGCAGGTATATACTTCATTCTCATTCCTTTACCCTGTGGATGCTAAGTTAAGGTTAAAGTGTTAACCTGTCCAACTAAGAGAAGATGGCTCCTATACTTCCCCAATCCTGTGCAACTACTTGCCAACGTTCACTGCACAGCAGGCGGTTCGATTCTCTCAAACACTCTACCAGTGCTTGGTTGGCCACTTTGAAAGTATGGCTTTGGGTGCACAAATAGCAGAAACCCTACACGGAGGATTCCTTTGTATAATCCTGGGGGGATCGGTGGCCGAGTGGTCTAGCGCACACCAGCTCGGAGCACATGGAGCGAAAGCTCGCGCTGCAGAACCCAGGGATCCTGGGTTCGAGCCCCACCCCTGCCCGTTTCGATCTGGATGAGCATCGTACCGGCGTGCGGTCGTGTATCACTACTGCGTGATGCACGTTAAAGACCCCAGGCTAGCGGCTGTACCGCACTGGCTAAATTTCTCATCTACAGCTGGGAGACTCGTCGCCCCTGTGAGGCAGACCAAGTTCTAGGCTGTATAAACACACACACAACCCAATTTTTTTTTTTTTGTATAATCCTATCATGTTTTCAAAAAAAAAATGTTTCGAACTGATCTAAAAAAAGCTTCACACTAGATTTTATCTATTTTACTTTCGGATAATTACGAAAACCCGCTCATTCTGATTATTTACTGTGGTATGCCAAAGTTTGAATTAATAAGGTTTCACTGCATTAATAGGCTTAGGATTTGTTATGGGATGTGCATTTCAAGCTAAATGTTTTGTTTTTCATTGACACAGTTGTTCCATCATATAATGAGCTGCCTAAAATGCTCAATGCAAGGTAGGTACCCTTTCCACTCGTCACTAGTAATCTGTTCCACAACCTCGTTGAATTCTATAAATTCAATGACAAACTATAACATTTTCTTCTTGCATTTGTAACTTTAATTCACTTGCAGCTTCTCAGATGCCAAGTTTAGGAGATACATATTTTTGTTAGAATTGCACTTTACTCTTTCTTGAGAGATTAAATCTTGCACAGATTTGACAATGGCTAAATTACTGCCATGTTTCTTTGACAAAAAATTCTTTCAGCCTTTCCACTCTGGTGAAGGAGGAAGAGCGGCGGAGCTGTACCATGTGCCACCATCTATGAGCGACGGCGGCGGCAACCAGACAACCAGCTTGCCGGTTGTCTGGTTCCAGAGGGTTGTGTTGAGTTTTATTTGTCCACGGACACAAAACTGGGGCAACTAGCCGTTAACAGCTCCGCTATAAAAGTAGGGGTGTGGGAATATTGGAGAATTTAGAGTATGAATAGAATATTTTTCCTATTCGATACATAATTGATTTGAGGATTGCATATTCGAAAAGACTATGAATATTCAAACAGTACTCCGAATATTTGGGAAAACAAGAAATAATATGCACTCTCGCATACCCTGAACATTCTCAAGCATCTCAGGATGTCAATCCACGAAATTTACATGCGATGCATTCATTATCTATTAAAACTCTTTTATCTGCCCCACAAGACACCAACAGCTTCAGTTTCTTCATCTTTTTTTATATGAAACATGTCGTGAACTACTCTTTTAGCGATATACATTACACATTTTCGCGTAACAAAAATAGACATTCAATTAGCCTATCATAATGCCGTTTACTCAAAAAATGTATGAACGTTTGAAAATTAAAAAGAGAAAAAGCTATTATAAGAATACTGCATTGCCATAGACAACAACTCAACTTACTGGACAAAATGGGCACCACTGCTCTGTGTTCTTTGTTTGGAAATTGGTAAGCCACACTAGCTGCTCTAGTTAAGGCTGATACTGTCTTTGTTTGAATGTGTTCTCCGAGTCTAGCCTCAGCCACAGTTGATGAGCCACCGAGCAAGCAAGGAATGAAAGCCAGAAAAGGTCAAAGGTAGACAAAACCCTTGCAGTTCATAACACAGTGTAAGTCGTGCGAAAGTGTTCTTCAAATACCGACGGGAACAGCTACAACGCTCCAAAACCACTTAAACAACACCCTTAGTTGGTGAAAGAAAATGAAAAAGGACGCTGCGAGCAGGCCGTCAAGGAGTCAACCGACACAATCATACGGTTTCACAGAGCAAGCAGCTCTTGCCGCAAAAGACAAACGTAACCATTTCTTATTACAGTGTAGACCGCATATAACATATGTCGGGGGAGTCGCGAAAATCTGCACTATTCGCGTCTCCAGCTTGACGCTCGCCCTACCGCGGCGGAAACGGGAAGCGCTCTAGTGAGGGTGCTCTGATTCTCCTGCTCAGCGGGCACGGCAGAACTGCTCGCGATCATGGCTCGCGAAATGCCATTTCCTAATGCAAACAACACTCTTCACTGTCCCAACCTAGTGCTGCAGCCGGTGTGGGATTGTACCTTACTGGAGAGTTTTAGCATTGCGCATAGAAGCAAACGCAAGCGGTGTGCGTTCGCATTCAAGTTGCGTGCCCCACGCTGTGCGTGCGCCTCATCGCCAAGCGCCATCCAAGACCGCAATTTCGGGCTCCGCGCACGCGCAGTGTGGAACGTGCAAAGCTAACGCAAACACACAGGGCTTGAGTTCGCTCGTATACGCAATATTAAAACTCACTACTGTTTCACCGGCTAACAACGCCAACGAAACGTGCTGCAGTGAGCAGACGTGCAAGCAGGTAAGCTTTCCTTCGAACTGGAAGGGCTGAGACTGGCAAAACGACGGCGAGCAAATACAAAAGTAAATAAATGTTATCAAAAACTAGTAATTAAAAAAAAGGCTTTTTTTTTTTACTTTTGGGCATTTGGTCTGAAGGTATATTGGCGACGACTTTGGACGTTTTGCCGATTGTCAAAAGTCGCGAATTTGATAGCACTATATACTTTACCCACAATTAATGTAATTTTACATGGATTTCTCACATTAGCTAGAATGTTTTCATTGATTTTAGACTACTTTTATTTTATTCATATTTAAAATGCAGTAATTGGAACCAGTGATGATAATTAGCACAGTTTTCATTGTCATATTTCTTCGCACGTTTAAAATTAGATCATAAGCAACAAATTATATTAGAGCTTAAATAATTACTTATTCAAATATGTGAATTTTAATATTATTATTATAATACGAATTGTGGCAATGTATGCCTCTAATTAACGCCAAGATCACGAGAATACTCTATTTAACAATAATAGTCTTTCCAGGTATAATTCTGTTTTCTTTTTAGCATATGAAAACCTCCGACATAGTTATCAAGATAGACAAACAGTTAAACGCTGGATGTAATATGAAGTCCTACGCATCACGCGGTGCTATAAAAGCAAACACACACACTTCAGCTGTCTGACTCGGATTTCGTCTTGGGCTGTTGCAGTGAGAGCAGCTGTTTATTAGTTTATGCGTTTCGTGGACATATTGTAAAAATTGGAATTATTCTCTTACCCTTGTGCTGGGATAATTGTCATTATTTCTCATGACAATTATCCGAGCGAGAAAAAGGCAGCGAGAACGCACAGATATCAGCACTGATTTTTTCAACAACAGCGAATATCAGCCTGGATCGAACAGTATGTCACAAAATAAAGTTTCCGTGAACAACTTTTCTAAGTAAATAATTACGAGTTGAGACACTTCTTGAGTCATGAAAGAATCCAAAATTAAGACATCTGTCGAGAAATTAAATCCAAAATAGAGGTAAGTTTCGGTTTCGCTCCAGAATTAAAACGCGCATCCTTCCGTAATTAATATGCTAAACACCATTCTTGTTTTCAGGTTAAAGAGGTGATCTGCGCTCATAAAACATTAGCTTCCTCGTATTACCTGAAATAATTTATGTCGCTCACTGAAGCCAGCCCACTAGACAGGCTCAACAGCGGCACGCATCTCTGACTCTCACTAAACCCGCCATCTTGGAAAATGAGTGGCGCCACCTATAGTTAGTTGGAGTCGCGAAAAAGCGGTACCGCGCTATAACCCAAACATCAATTTTTCAGGCCAAAATGCATGCCATCAGATAACTTACCTTTGTAAAAGAATTTATTTTACGTTAGGTGAAAAATAAAGCTTAGTTTGAGGAAAGTCTTTATTTCACCAAACTAGTACACTTCTCTCTCCAAAGTGTCACACATGTTGAAAGAAATGAGCGACTTTTGCCTGGCGCAGCCTTTTAACGGCGTCGCGAGTTGCGGACGGTCGTTGTGAGCATTCAGGATTGCTAACCCTAATCACTTTTCTCCGGCGATGAAAACGCATGAAAATTTGCATCCTTTATACGGTACGTGCCAGTAATACCTTCAACTTGAGCACGGGCATGAAATGCTCCAAATAAGAAATCCGGGCAATGTTCGAAAACAAAAATGCAAAGCACCACTGTAGTCGAAGTAAACAAACACAACGACACGGGCGTTTCTGCCGTCTTGAGAGTGCCGCCACAACATCGCTGCACGAGTAGGTGGATCTTCCCTTCCAGTACATGCTGGGTTATCATAGCGACACACAACGAAAATTCACAGTCAAGGATAGCGCTTTTACGCGGAAAGTTGAACTTTCAATATGCCGCCTACGTCGACGATCAAAACCGACGCCATGTTTGCGGACAGAAGCAGCCGGCCGGCCGGCCCGCGACCGGTATGCAACGCGCGCGAACACTTGTCCTCGACCTGCGATTGGTCTGTCGTTGCGGTTGTTTCCAACGCACAGAGCGGAGGGACGCACCACGGTGTAGGAAGGCTCTTTAGGTGTGGAGAC